TCATCAGACAGATTATTGACTTTTTCCTTTTGCAGCAAGCATCTGGAGTTTTGATGTTAAATCATTGTGTTCTTGGGTGTTAATATTGGAGGATTAACCTGGCACCCCTTTTATTGCTGTTCTCCTACACATGAAAAGAAGCGTCCATGTACAAATACAGTTATGCAAGTTGGCACAGAACTCTGAAGGAATGTGCTGCTCTTCTTTTTATTGAATGCATAAATTCAGGAAGTCCAAACATTGGCCGACAGTGCTCACCATACAGAAACATTCTCAGAAATCATGTAACCGAATGTAAATGTGTGCACTCAGTCAATCCTACTCATCCATGCTGAGGTGATACCTCTGTCAGTGTGGCCCTCTCAGATGGAATTACTGTCATAGTTGGCATGATGACTTTCTTCAGGTGATAAAAGAGGTGTTGATACAGAAGCATCTGGCAGGCCTCTGAGCTCCAGACAGATTCTGCTCTCACCCAAATCTATCAAACCACAGACAACATCTGTTTGGGCTGTAGATTAGACTAGTTAGCTTATATTGTGAATTGCAATAGCTTGTATCTTGTGCAGAACAAAATATTGATTTTGTTGACACAACTTAGATTAATCAACTTCACCCTGTAGAGGAGGGTTCGTACTCACCTAAGCCATCTTCATCATCTCCTCCGCAACCTTGAAACTGCTGGGTTTTTCCTGAATATGTTGCCCAAGGCTTGCTTTCGAAAGGTTTTGATTGATCGCTAGGATTTAGGGAGGAATCTCGCACAATTTAACACAAATCATGAAAGACTTTGTGAATAAACCACTGGGATGTGTGTTGCCAGTGGCATTTCGAGTTGTACGCCGTTTGAAACAGAGTGCAACACTGCAACTTGGTCTTATTGGTGATGTTGACAGATATCTTAATTGAGCTTTGACTGATTAAGTTTGTATCAAACAAAGGCTGACAGCCAATTTGACTGCTATGTCAGATTGAACCTGTTAGAAACTTCCCAGCCTTGGTATCAAACAGACAGGTAAGAAAATGAAAGATGACCATGTAACCCCTCAGTGTTTCTTCTGTACCTCAGTGTTCGCACGCAGGTACACACACACACACACACACACACATATATAAGCATGCAAAGACACTTCTGTCTCTGATGTGGCCAAAAACCCCGGAGGGACCAAAGCCATTTTTCATGTAATTACAGAAAACCTGCCTGACTGGCTTTGAGGCAGCTTGTGAAAGGAGGGACCATGTCTCTCTTACATTGTACAGTACATCTAACCAGTTGGTATAAGCTAAAGGTTATTTTACTTGTTTGACTTTCAGTCGTTTGGCCAGTTTTGTCGCCCCTGATGATTATTTCTTATAGCAGAATTTATGTTGGAAACAGTGTTCTTTTGTAAAAGATAGAGCTGATATGATCCAGGACTTTTGGTCTTTTGTCTTCTGTTGACAATATAGCTTTACCGATCCACCGAGGTTTCACCTGAGCTCTGTGTTCTCTTGTCTCGTCCCCATCTTTTATCCCGCTCGTTGATTCAGTTCAAGCTTTCAGCCTTGCTGCTCATGCATGTGTTCACGATAATGGAATTGTATTGTGGAAATACACAAATATATCATCATACGACCAAACGCTGACAACTGCAGTCTGTTACAGAGAGGGACAGTAGTAGAAAGGAATTTCCCCCAGGACAGATCAGTACGGACTCAGTGAACTGACGCTGTCTTAGAGGTGTGCTGCAAGTCTGCAGCAGCAACTGAAGTAGGCAGCTCTGAGGTAATGTTTGTCTCTGTCTCCCTTCAAGATAAACCTGTCATTAGAGCACAGACGAACCTGTCACATTCTGACATTCTGACCTTTTTATTCCTACTCGGAGAAATGGGGCAAATTTATGAGAATACTTCTGTGATCCAATCAATGCAACATGAGCAGCGGGGCAGGCTCTTGTTTATAATGGTCTCTGACTCTAGGGGGCAAATATTCATTTTTCACTGTCTGATGATAAATGAGACCATTACTTTTTTTTTTACATTTGATGCCTCATAAAAATATTAAGTTGTTGTTTGTCCGCTTAGGTTGCTCAGGAGTTTTTATACTCCTTGCAGCTTTTGTATTTAAAACCAAGACAGAATATTTGACTGTTTGTCTGTCTGGAACTCACGAACACTGTGGATGCTCGTGATTTTAAGATCAGCTTGATTCAGCTCAGTTGTTTGATGTCTTGAGGCATCTCCCATTGCTGCCTTTGAAGGCCTGCCACCTGCAGCAACCCTCCACCTGTTACAGGACGTCTACTGATTTATCTTGTAAACATTGTAGCTAAATTGTTTTCCTTCAGCATGTACTTTACAACTTATTTGTTGGATTCTTCAAGGAATTCATATGATTTATAAACGTTACAATGCATCATGCAACAACTGTCAGACAGCCTGAGCTTTGTCATTTTCTCGACTCGTATCAAACTATTTATCGCCATAGCAAGCAGCTGGCTTAGCATAAAGTTTAAGAAATCCACAGTATGTATCCACAGGTGTTGGTGGAGACCAAAACTGAGCTAAGAAAGAGAGAAACGTTAATTTTAGATGAACATGCATTGAGCAAATGTTACGCCCCTGATAAAAGGGAAGAATTTTGACAAGAGTCAAAGTTAGGTTTCATTCGCCGGTACTTTACTCGAGTGAGTCAACAAATGCAACACCTTTCAATAGCACATACAACTTGGCTATTAACACTGTATTTCAATCATGAGACTCCTTAATTACCACAATATCATTGATAAGATAATATAATTGACAACATAGCAGAACCCTCACAGAATTATTTAACTAAAATATAAAGACAACATATTACATATAACTGTGTGCATACTAGAGATGTCCCGATCCCGATCCCCGGATCGGATCGGCCCCCGATACTGGGTTTTAAGGTGGATCGGGATCGGCAGATCCAATTAAATGTCATGGCCGATCCATAGTTAATATTTCCCATGATTCCATTGTTACGTTGTTACGTTGTTTGTCGTTGTTGTTCTATTGCATCAGCCGCCATTATCGAGTTGGAAAAGTGGAACGGACACATATCGCTAGCTAGTTAAAATGTCTGCAGTTTGGCATCATTTTAAAATAACTACAAGTGAGTCGCCGACTGCGACATGCAAAGTCTGTGGTGTGGAAGTCTCATGAGGTGGTGCTAACAGGGTCTCCTACAACACCACAAACCTAATAAAACATCTTAAAAAGCACCACCCCGACGAACACGCCGCCTACTGTAAAGCGACAGCGTCTGCGACTGATGGACTCCATCAACAAACACTGCGGGACAGCTTGAACCGAAAGGCTTTACTTCCTCGAGACTCCGAGAGATTTCGCAAGATTACTGAGCTGATTGTGGAGTGCATAGCAGGGGACAACCAGCCAATTTCACTTGTGGAAAACTCCGGTTTTTGTCGTCTAATAAATTATTTGGGTGCCTGTCTATTTCTTAATGTATACGAAATTAAATGCTGTTTGCCAACACAAAAAGTGATATCGGAAATCGGTATCGGAAAACCGGTATCGGGAAATATCGGGATCGGATCGGAACCTATATGAAAATATCGGAATCGGATCGGAAGCTAAAACATTAGATGGGGACATCCCTAGTGCATACACAATACACAAGATGGCGGCAAATGCGCGCTACGCAGTGTTTGTTCATGTAACCATGTAGACGTTACTACACACATTCTCGGCCATCACACACATCAGCCCAAGCTGATAAAACGTAATAATAACACACTCAATATTTCACACAACCGCTTTAAAACACTCCTTACACATGTTATGTTATAGTTTGGCCCAATTTGCTATGTTTTTGTACTATCTACATACCTGATAAAAGGGAAGAATTTTGACAAGAGTCAAAGTTAGGTTTCATTCTCCGGTACTTTACTCGAGTGAGGAAAGTACCGCGAAACCCCCCAGATATGTGGGCGGAGACAAGAGCAATCGATCTCCGTCTCCCAGATCAAGGCCATCTAGTCGATCACAGTTTAACAGATCACACGTCTCCAAAACAAACACAAACAAGCGCAGACAGAATACCTTCTCATCCTTTCCAAACATCCTACAATGAAACTACATTAACAAAGGTCAAAGGTAACAGTTAAAATACTGTCAATGTTACAAAAACAATCTATTACACACTCCCCTGCTAAATTTGATGTCGTCCCGACATCTCAAAATCTATAAACTAAAGGTTTTAAACCTGAAATGTTCAATTTGGTCTTGAGGTGTGTCAATAAAGTGATTGATTTTGGCATGAACACAATAAATCTACCGAACTACTGTTTCTGTTTGTGTCAAACGGTCTCAGTCCTACCATTCTCTATAATACACTGTCCATGTCTGTTTTATGCCTAGTATCCTTGCACATATAATGGTTGGGCAACTTAAAATGGATTTGTCCACATTGTCACTAGTTGACCTTCCCTAAATAAACTTGGTTGATACTGGCAAAGCATTCCATTAGCATGTGCTGCGCTATAGCATGTTGGAGTCCCAAGTTGATCATAAGTGAAGAATCTAGGGGCTCGCCTTTCCCTCCTTGGTAGATCATCTCTTTGCTCCCTTTCATCTCCACCTGAATCTGAGTATGGGGATGTTGGGTTCTCATTCTGTGCTTCCTCAACAGGTTGAACATCTCCACACTCACAATTTTCCTCTGGCAGCACATCTTCTTGTGCGTTTGTTATAGGCATCTCTTTAACCACAGGCTCATCTGTACTCAACACTGGTGTGTTCTGTTCAGCACCATCTTGTGTGTTAGACTGCTCCATGGTTACATCAATAAAGGGCCATTGAGAATGTTCTACTGGCTTGTAGTAGTACTCAAACTCCTCTTCGTCATCTTCCTGTTCCCGAGCTGTGTCTTCAGCAGCTGTCTCTGTCATCCTTCTTTCATTCTTTTGCTTGGACACTGTCTTTGGCTGAATTTCCAGAGGTAAGTGATCACAAGGTAGCAACAGATTGCGATGCATTATTCTCGATCTTCCTCTTCCCTGCTCAGGTCTGATTTCATAAACTGGAATGTCTTCTCCGACCTGGCGGATTACATAGTGGATGTTCTCTTCCCAATGGTTACGAAGCTTTCCAGTGCCTCCTCTCGGTGTCAGGTTTCGAACAAGGACACGATCACCGGGGTACAGCATGGAGCTTCTCACTTTTCCATCATAATGTCTTTTACTGCTTTCTCTTGACTTCTTTGCATTCTCCTGCACTATTTCGTACGCGTCTTGCATCTCCCTTTTCCATTTCTCCATGTATGTTCGATGGTCTGTTGTTCCTGTTTCAGATGTTAGACCAAACAGTAGGTCAATGGGTAACCTTGGGGATCTTCCAAACAGAAGGTAAAAAGGGGAGAAGCCTGTTACCTCACAACGTGTGCAGTTGTATGCATAGATCAGCTTGTTTAACGATTCCTTCCAGTGTTTCTTCTGTTTATCAGTAAGTGTCTTTAACATCTGTAGCAGTGTTCGATTGCAACGCTCAACTTGCCCATTTCCTTGAGTATGATATGGTGTTGTTCGCGACCCAAGTACACCACAGTTCTTTTTCAGCTGGGCAAAAAGCTGGTTCTCAAATTCGCCGCCTTGGTCGTGATGTATACGTGTTGGTAGACCAAACTTGAGAGTATAATCATTAAATATGCGATCAGCAACAGTTTTGCCAGACTTGGAAGTGGTGGCGTAAGCCTGGGCGAAACGAGTGAAATGGTCAACGATTACCAGTATGTCCTCATAGCCGCCGCTGCATTTGTCCAAATGAAGAAAGTCTATTGACACCAGTTCAAAGGGTTGGTGTAATGATAGTCTGTTTTGCCCCTGAAGACGTATGACATTTGCATCGGGGCTGATTTGCATTCTTGTCCTCTGTGCTGATTTTATAATTCTCTCCAGAGGAAGAGCGTCGCGTCTTGTAAGGAGCCACAGAGGAAACTTCACAGTTCCGAAGTTATCAGAGTCTAACATGCGATTCCGCGTGCTGAGCCGGGGATCTTCAACTACTCCACGCTGTTGCTGTGCGAGAAAAGAGACGCGCTGTATGTGGGAGCACGGGAGGCCATCTTTGAGCTCAGCAAGAAGAACGTGACGGTTAAAAACAACTAGGTCGAGTGGACAGTTGCAGAAAACCTCAGAGGGATGTGCACTTCAAAAGGTAAATCAAAAGAGAAGGATTGTCTAAACTACATTCGAGTGCTGCAAGTCGCAGACGACGAGCGGCTGTATGTCTGCGGCACGCACGCCTTTCAACCTCAGTGTGTCTACTTGAACCTCGCTGACTTCTCGTTGGACCGTCAGCCTGAAGACGGCCGGGGGAAGTGCTCCTTTGACCCGTCACAAAGCTCTACTGCCGTCATGGTTGATGGAGAGCTGTACTCAGGGACAGCTTATAACTTCTTAGGCAGCGAACCCATTATGTCCAGAAACTCTCCATCCCAGTCCCTGTTGAGGACAGAGTACTCCAGATCATGGCTCAACGAGCCACGTTTTGTTTTTGCTGACGTGATCAGTGAAGGGAGTAACAGAGCGGATGGCGAGGACGATAAAATCTACTACTTCTTCACCGAGGTGTCCGTGGAGTACGAATTATTTGGCGAGCTGCTCATTCCCAGGGTGGCCCGCGTCTGTAAGGGTGACCTCGGGGGGCAGCGCACTTTGCAGAACAAATGGACGTCTTTCGTGAAAGCCAAGCTGGTGTGCTCCATGCCTGAGCTCAACTTTGTTTTCAACGTAGTACATGATGTGTTCATCCTGAAGGGCGCCGACTGGAAGGACACCGGTACCTACGGGGTGTTCACCTCCCAGTAGGGTAACGTGGGCCTGTCAGCAGTGTGTGCTTACAACATGACAGCTGTGGAAGACGTCTTCTCCAAGGGCAAGTACATGCAGAAGGTCACAGTGGAGCAGTTCCAGACCAAGTGGGTCCAGTACAACGGCATCACTCCCACTCCACGTCCTGGAGCATGTATTAACAACCTGATGCGACAGCAGAACATCAGCAGCTCTCTCCACCTGCCGGACAAGACCCTTCAGTTTGTGAAGGACGAGCCCCCAAATGTTACGCCCCTGATAAAAGGGAAGAATTTTGATAAGAGTCAAAGTTAGGTTTCATTCTCCGGTACTTTACTCGAGTGAGTCAACAAATGCAACACCTTTCAATAGCACATACAACTTGGCTATTAACACTGTATTTCAATCATGAAACTTCTTAATTACCACAATATCATTGATAAGATTATATAATAGACAACATATTACATATAACTGTGTGCATACACAATACACAAGATGGCGGCAAATGCAACACCTTTCACTAGCACATACAACTTGGCTATTAACACTGTATTTCAATCATGAGACTCCTTAATTACCACAATATCATTGATAAGATAATATAATTGACAACATAGCAGAACCCTCACAGAATTATTTAACTAAAATATAAAGACAACATATTACATATAACTGTGTGCATACACAATACACAAGATGGCGGCAAATGCGCGCTACGCAGTGTTTGTTCATGTAACCATGTAGACGTTACTCCACACATTCTCGGCCATCACACACATCAGCCCAAGCTGATAAAACGTAATAATAACACACTCAATATTTCACACAACCGCTTTAAAACACTCCTTACACATGTTATGTTATAGTTTGGCCCAATTTGTTATGGTTTTGTACTATCTACATACCTGATAAAAGGGAAGAATTTTGACAAGAGTCAAAGTTAGGTTTCATTCTCCGGTACTTAACTTTACTCGAGTGAGGAAAGTACCGCGAAACCCCCCAGATGTGTGGGCGGAGACAAGAGCAATCGATCTCCGTATCCCAGATCAAGGCCATCTAGTCGATCACAGTTTAACAGATCACACGTCTCCAAAACAAACACAAAAAAGCGCAGACAGAATACCTTCTCATCCTTTCCAAACATCCTACAATTAAACTACATTAACAAAGGTCAAAGGTAACAGTTAAAATACTGTCAATGTTACAAAAACAATCTATTACACAAGTTGTTGCCTAGTTAGCAGCATAATACACACTATTAAAGACTTGTATTAAAGGTGGGGTAGGTAAGTTTCAGAAACCGGCTCGAGTGCACTAAAATTTGAAATTGAAAATACACAGCCGAAAAGAATCCGCCCCTTCCTTCAGACTTCCTTACAGAGCACCTCCTCCAACACACATGAACGCGCACATGACGTCTGCAGACTGGTGAAAGTGGCCGCCTGGCGAGTCATTGAAGTACTGCTGCAATGCACGCCCAATGAGGGCACGAGATACATTTGTGCGTGCACGAGATGGAAGGCTGACAGACAGGGCGGCAATCCAATCCGTTTAGCCGGCCCTGCTAAACGGATTGGTTGTACTTTTTACAGTACTACGGCTTCCACAGATGACATTTTTTAATGGATTTTTTGTCAAAGCACTTAAGATATTCATTGCTATCGGGATGTTAAGAGCATTCCATGGAATATAACAAAAAGTGTATCTCGAGCCGGTTTCTCAAATTTACCTACCCCACCTTTAAGATTTCAAAAGTGAAAATGATCACTCGCAGTTTTCAGAGTTTCCTACATCATCCCCTGATAAGATTCCTTGAGATAAGGAAAACTCATTAGAAACCGATTTTAAACTAGGCCCTTTTTGTTCAGTTTGCTCTGCCAGTTTCCTCTCAGTAGAAACCATCAGGTACAAGGAACCGCTTTAACTCTGTGTGAGTTTCTGACATCGCATTGTTCGTCCTACTCGTCCCGTCACCAGACACCGATCCTTTCAGAACGGTGATTTATTATGGAAGCGATCGCTCTGGTATCTGTGCCAAATGACAAAGCTTCGACTGCTTTTGTTTCCTCTTCATGAGTCGCAGGTGACATCAGATCATAGCCCGGATCATATTTATAATCTTCTACCTTGTGGCAACTGTATGTGATACTCTTCTGGATCCTGTGAGTGCATGGCAGGGTCATTTCGTTGACTGCAAAAGAGCAAAGAACCTAAAGACTCCCTGCCAGAAACCCCTCAGGGTGTTTGTCACTGTCTGGCACAGTATAAGGAGTCACTACCCATCAGCCTTTCAATCTGGATTTAACTAGGCCAAGAGGAGACAGTCGATAATGAATGGCCAGCCAAAAGAAATACCATTTGTATTGCCTGTTGTCAGTATTGTAAAGACAACAACAGCAATATAACATTACAATAACCATAAATCAACGCACTGTAGGTATAAAGCCTCTGTAAAATCATTAAGGGTGAGTGAAAGTGAGATTCTCTCCCCTCCATCGCTCTCTTTATCCCGTTTCCCTTTTGTCCTATTCTTTATCTCATTACCATCACTGAAGCTGACCTCAGAGCAGAGCATCCAGCTGTGTTCCCCTGCCCTACAGAGAAACCTCTGACCCTGCCCTGAACTGTAGGATCATCTAGCACTGTCACAGAATGACTCCTAGGTCACTCGGTGCACATTACTTCGGGTTTTTTTTCAAGGTGGATTAGGAATTTGATAGTGATTGTTCAAGTATTGTAGGGGAATAAGTGACGAATGGAAAAATGTGTTTAGAGGAATGAACAGAATGACCTAAGATACCACCTGTCAGACATCTCAGCAGAGTTACCTTGTTTACAGCCAACACTGGCTATTATTTACAGGGAGACAAACTTTATACAAGTGGTTATTACAGTTCATGACATCTGTGTATGCAATTAACCACATGCTTCTGCCATGTTGTGACCTATTCACTCACATTTTAATTATGCATAACATATTTTTGAAAGGTTACATTTTGGCTAATCCAGCAGCAGAGAATGAAGTGAAGATAACATGATTGAAAAGGTCTGTTCAAAACACTCTTGTCACCTGCATTGTGGGATATATATCAAAAGAAGTACTTTCAGGTATCTCTTTACCTCTTTTGGGTTGAGGGTGAGGGTGTTTCCATCTCTTGGCAAAGCATGAGTGGAGAGAGGAGAAGATTAATGGTATAATAGCTCTGACCACATGGTTTAGTTATTTAAACTGGCAGCATCAGCTCAAATTGTTTCATAGCTTTCTGCAATGATACATTTAGGAGCGTGTCTGGACAGGTTCAGCCAAGAGACAGGAGCTTGGAAGCTATGACACCATCAGTAAAGTACACGCAGCGTGTTTACCTGTTTGTGCACCATTCCTTTTGGTAATTGGTTGCCTAATATGCAGATGGAAGGAGCATACCTGGCTATGTTCTGAGTTGATTTCAGTATTGTTTCCATTCTTGTTTAGAAGTTTTGGTAAAACTAGCGCTTGTGAGGAAATTGTTTCATAATCGAGAGATAACTGAGGAGCGTAAGACTGTGGCTTATAATAAACCTGACGTTTTTGTCAAACCAATAGAAACAAACAAATCAAATAGATGCCAGCTCTGTGAGGGCAGAGGAGGGCAGTCGGAGTGTCATGACGTGGATGAAGATCAGTGATATTTCCTAAGCGTCTCTGAGTCTTACAGGGTTGTAGTGAGTTTGGTGTTTTTGTTTCAAACATCCCGTGTCAGGACGCCCAAGACGTCGGAGGATTACTGTAAGCTTGGCTCAGGTGACGTCTTCTGGAGGAGGGAGGGGGCCAGGTATGAGGGCCCACCATAGCCCTGCTCCGAACCACTCCAAAAACAAGGAAAAGTATCATATGGGGTGCTCAGATCATTCAAAGATACAACACTATACACCATCAAAGGCAGCTTTTAACACACTCACTGAAAGTTCTCATTACCCCATTTCTCAGATGCATTACCGTTTCATGATTACATATTTCGAAAGCTTTCAAAGGCAGGTTAAGCGGGCCGGTATGTTCACCAAAATCATTGTAAATAGCTCCAAAACAACGAGCTGATCCAACCTTTGTTCTTGCCTTAATGCCGCTGACAATACCTTGAAGCTATTTGACCACTGTGTTTACCTGCAAAAATCAGATAGACTATGGGAAGTCAGATAGACAGCCCCCTGTGAGGGCCAAACAGTTGTGGATCTCTCTTGTGGGGAGTGGATATTGTCTGCTATCTCTGGCTTCCATCGCAGAGTCTCAAACAGCACTCTGTTAAGAGAGTGCATGAATGAGCTGTGCACCCTTGCAGTATCTCTGGAATCACATAAAGACAACCTTGTGCTCTGCAATTTACTGTGCAGCGCTCAGGTGCTTGTGCATGTCTCAACCAGAGGAAAAACAAAAGTATGACTGACATAATCATGTGTCAGAAGATTTATGGTCAGAGAGAGCGAAGGGGAGAGAAAAAAGTGGAGAGCACATTTTCTCGCCCCTCCTCCTCCTTCAAATTATTGTCTTTAGTGCTGTCCACTTGTTTGAGTGAAATGTTGGAAGTTGTTGAAACGGAATAGTACACGCGCAAACACAGACACACACACACACATGCAGACAGTGCCTTCTGTTAATGAAGGCCCTGTAAGATGTATGATTTAACTCTTTTACTGTGAAATTATGAGTCATTTCCTTCTTCATTGGTGGTATATTTAAAGTTGTCTTTGGACAAGTAAACACAAGATGCTATCTATGTTTCATGGATAACTTTAATTCTCTGAATAACGTGTCATGCAGACACAGAAGTACACTTTGTATGCCAATAGGTTTATGGTCATTAAATGAATAGGAAATAAATCATGGATAGTTTTAGTGGTTATACCTTCTGCATCATCAGTTCAATTTTAATTTGAGTTATAAATCTGTTCCCTAGTGCAGTCAAGGCCGATCTAATGATAAAACGAAAAGCAGGATGGATCTTGCTGTTTAAAGACTCATTGTTGTCTTTGACGCTAATTGCTGGCTGGAGCACACGGCTGGGCCGCCCTGATGTAACGGGTCATGGGAGCAGATAGGGAAGCTGTGGCAGGCCTCCAGTAATAACACAGGGAGCGAGCCAGACTACCAACCATAAATCTACTGCTACCACCAATTTCCAACCACTGCAGGTGACGGGTTAGTGCGTGTGTTTGTGTGTCTGTGTGTGTGTGTTCTTATAAACAAAACTCCAAAGGGTAACGCAACCCCACTTCACAGCAACATGGATATTACACCCCTGAACATCTTGGCATGGGCCCGGTCCTGTTTATGGAGAAACACAGCTAAGAGTATAATT